TAACTTTTCCCTGCTTCTCCTTCTCTACTCACTTCAATTCATTATTTGCGAAAGGATTTGTGACGTAAATTTCAAACTGATACCATTAATCAAGTGTAAAACGACTATAGGAAGAAAAGATAACGAATAGAGGCCTATATAGTCTGGCAACCCACTTTTGCTCCATGTCACCAACGTATCTGCATTTAAATATAAAAGAAAAAGAGGTGAAAACAATAATAGTGCTGCTGTTTTCAAACAACCCAATTAATACGTTATCAGTGAAACTTGGAATAAGAATCAAAGAGTATGTTCATCTGGTCCCACCTAACTCTTTTTGCAGAGCAGTGGCTTTTTCAGTGCAATGAACCCTTCAACAAACCTTAAAGTTTAATCTATCTTTTTTCATTATCACAAACCCCCTCCTCTTCCACACTCTCCCTTTTAGTATCAAAACTCATTTAATAAAAAGAGATAATTCCATTTCCTAAGCGATATGTTGAGAAACGGATGGGAAGGCGGAAAGACGAAAACACATTCCGCCATAAACTAAATGATTATTCCTCGTTCACTGCAAGCACTCCGAATTCGTTAAATCTTCTCGTTTCAACTGAGAACTTTTCACTCAGTTCCAACAACCTTTGTTTCGTCATTCAAATCCCCTAGGAACTTTTGGCATTACTTATAAAAATGAGGCTCAGCAAACCGTTCAAGACAGGCAATTAAAGCTAAGGTCTGCTACAGACAGAACTACGTGTGTCACAACTCTTCGTGAGGGGAAGTAAGTGAAAGCAATTACACTACTCGACGTAACTGGGATATCAAGGTATGATCTGGAAACATAGATCAAAAGCCTTAATTCCCTATTCGCATAGACGTTATAATAATGTATGAATTTTTTTTTGCTTTCTGTCTATTCTATTCAATTCAACAAATCAGTTCAACAATTTTAAACAAAATCATTTACATTAAAAATCTTTAAAGGAAGGAAATCCCTGCACAGCAAACTCAACAAGACTCTGTTTCTTCACTTTTCAAGTACGTTACTAGAAGAAAAAACTGTTCCACGAAAACCATTATTTCAAAAACTTTTCCGTTAATTTTTCAAAACTTTTTCATTATCAGAAACTAACACAACATACTTTTGGTAGAAAAGAAAACGTAAATTTCAAAACTTTTTCATTATCAGAAACTAACACAACATACTTTTGGTAGAAAAGAAAACGTAAAACTTATTGCCTTTGTACCACAAATAATGAAAAAAATATGCGAAAATGTTTGCCCATTAGTAAAGAAGTTTAGCGTTAGAATGCAAAAATAATTTTCATATTAGAAATGAAAACCGGCTTAAACTAGATAGACCTACAGAAGAAAATCACGAAAAAAGTTTACCATCGTAATAGCTGCCAAATGGCAAAAAGAATGAACAAACGGAAAGCCTTAAGACCTCCCGCAAATGAAATAGGCAAAAATCAGCTACCCCTTATCCATTTAATAGTACTCCAAATAAAATAGAGCACCATTATCAAGGAAGATAAGTTGGAGATTTTGAAGATGAATTAACATTTGCGAGTTCATTATCTTCCTGGCTAATATAAGGTTTGAATGACAGCTTTAAAAGTCATTCAAGCCAAATACTTTTTACTAGATGAAAACTAAAAAATATCCAACGATATCTCAACATAACCTGGCAAGTAATTGCACCATATAGAAAAAGGAAAAGCAATATGGAGTGAGCAAGTGTTAAAGAATACAGTTCAAAAGTAACTTTTAGAACGGTACGGCAGAATAACAATTCCTTGAACTACTTGAAATCACTCCACGTCTAACCACCCGAATGATTAAATGATCAATCAACGGTTCATCATTGTTATACATTATGAGTACGCATAAAATTATTTCGCAGCAGAAACTAATACTAACCTGCTTTAATCAGCGTCTCAAAAGGAGCTATTACTTCACGCATGTCAGCTTCGTTTGCAGTCGGCAAAAAAACATCAATTTCACGTTTTTTAAGACCTAGAACAATCCGTTCTACGGCATTTTTCGCAGTTTGAAAATTACAGCCGGGAGTTTGAAGAGTGTTTGAAAAGTGCACCTGTAAAGAAGGAAATTCACAATAAGATTACTGATCAAAAAGAATTATTTGTATAGGTGATAACAATGCTAAAAGCGTTAATCAAACAAAGATGATATAAGACAAGTACAAAAAGAAAAATGTTAATGATAATACTGTGTTGGCTCTCTCAATAAACAATGACGATAAGATTTTGCTTCCTGACGAGGGAACCCTAGATCTTATTGAGCTGAACGAACGTAACCCGTTCAGATAGAGAACACATTTCATTGTGTGCGACACCGATCTCCGCATGATCATTCCAGCGGTATAAAGCACCGAATTCCGATCACGAATGGCAAAAAGGCTTTTAAACCTATGCAAACAATAACTGAAAATTTGGTTATTATAGCCGAATGTTTCGAACTTTGCAACTATACCACGCACATCTTGCAAAAACGGCGTTCTGGTCGCGTCAACAACAAACTTAATCAGAACTTATACTGTCCGAATAAGAATATTACCAACTGCTATGGAAAATATACTCAGTTATCATGCTAATCCGCAAACCACTGCTAAAAACTTGAAATTCCAAATAACACAGATGTGGAAGTTTACTTCCTTCCCGAATTCTCTGCTTGGACAATAACTTAGTTGAACTTACGGTTACGGATTAATTCAAATAAAATGATGCATTGCAAGGTATGAACGTCATAAGCAACTCGTTGCATAAAAATACAGCCAACTTTTTATTCTATATAAAATGTCTTGTTCAGTTGCATCAGCGGCCAGAGCTTTAAAAGACTGCTAGGTTTACTTCGTTTTATAAAAGAAATCAAGTCGCATCAATAACTCCCATTATCTATTTGTTTTTTCAAAAAAATCTCTTTCAGCATTTAGGACTCTGGCTTCCAGCTCAGTAAAAGCTTTTTCCCCAGATGAAACTGGACTTGATATATCAAATGATAAACGGGAAATAACATTAACAACTAGAACGCAGAGCATCTTTATTTGAATAGGCATCACATGCACAGAAATAATAATGAGTAAACTGCAGAATAACAAAATTAATACCCAAGATGCAAAAAATGAAAAAAAGAGCAAGAAAATGTAGTGTAAAAATTGAACCCCCACTTCTGGTAACACCGGAAGAGACACTAGCGCCCGTTTAACGCACCACTAACCAAACACATGACTTTGCCCAGTTAGCTTGCTGTAGATGCATCCGACCAAAAATGTCCCTCAGTACTCTATTGAAGTTCAACTGTAGAGTTGGTACAGAGCAAAAGTATCACCTTCCTCCCTTCCTCGAACAAAAAGCGCAATGGGTAAAAATAACTTACACTTCTCTGGCCGTAGTTAAAACAACTTTGCGTATGTTCAAAAAACCTGCTGAAGAATATAAGTAGTAAGGCAACTGCCTGAAATTAAAAAATACACCACGCATGACTTCTTTAACTATATACATATATTTCCCAATGAACAGTCAAAACTGCCAGATTGAATAAAAAAGTTCCAAAATACAATTTCTCCCTTCGACTTCCACAACAAACACATAAATCATCCTAACGTTAGCAACCAAAGTAACTAGACTAGTACAAAAGCGAAAAAAAAACAAAACAAGTAATTCCTCTCAAATCCCAATTTTCGTTCCGTCGAAAAAAAAACAATCAAACGACACTTGTAATTTTAAACGTTTAGAGATCAGATATTAGAAAAAAGCTTTTTTAAATAACGGAAAGCAAATACACGTAACCTTGATCAAAAAAAAAAAAAAAAAAAAAAAA